CAGAGAGACAGAGAGACAGAGAGAGAGAGACAAGCCAAGAAACAGGCTCTTAACTCTAGAGAACAAGCTGATGGTCACCAGAGGGGAGGTGGGCGGGCGATGGGTGAAATAGGTGATGGGGATTAAGGAGGGCACTGGTCCTGATGAGCACTGAGGAATGTACGGAATTGTTGAACCACTATGTTGTACACCTGAAACTAACACAACACTGTTAACTATATGGGAATTAAAATTTTAAAGAAGTTTTAATTAATTAAAATTAATTAATTAAAATAAAAGAGTGGGCTAGAGAGGGAAGAGAAGCACACAAAAGAGTAAGTGCCAAAGAGAAGAGACTCACTTCATCTGAAATCCAAACTGGGTAACAGCAAACCCATCGGTCAAGTTTTTTTTGTCTTTTTTTTTTAAGATTTTTATTTTTCTCGGTAATCTCTATACCACATGCTCTACCAACCATACCACGTGCTCTACTAGGTGCCCCATCAGTCAGGTATTTTTCCTGACAAGCCTACAACCAGCTCATCTGCTCCAGTGTGGGTTTCCGGCCACCCATGTTGTCCACGTGCAGTGCTTTAACAATTCAAACTAATTTCAAACCTCAAAAGTCATGGGTCAAACTATCACCATTTAATCATGGGAGAAAGAGGAAAAATAGAGCATATGAAAAAGCTTAAAAGATTAGGAATTTTAAAGAGCTGGGGCTCTGTTACTTAAGAGTCATGAGGACATGAAAAAGAATAGTTCTGATTATGTAGAGGAAAGCATCATTTAGACCCATGCTTCTCCAGACACATAGTCTGAGGTCTTGTGGCACCAGTGTCGCGGGGCTGCTTGTGAGAATGCAAATGTTCAAGGCCCAACCCTGATCTAGAGAATGAGAATCATGGAGGGTGGGGCCTGGCTGTCTGCTTTAACAAGATCTCCAGATGATTCTTCAATGCCCTAAAGCTTGCAAAGCAAGGATTGAGACCATCGGTAGTCAAACTGCAGATTACAACCCATTAGTGGGTTGTAAAATCAATTTTGTAGGCGGTGACCAGCATTTTACAAAAGTGAAATGGAATACAATAGAAAATGGAGTGCATCCCATGTTGCATGGGTATGAGCTCATAAAACTTGTTTCAGTTCTAGATATGTATGTACACCCAAGTGTACTGATCTAAATGAAGCAGCACTTTTAATTTTTGAAGAACTGGTAGGGTATACTCAGAGACAAATTTTATATGAAGCCAGAACTGTTTGACGATAAAACACACTGACAGCTTAATGTGGATTCCCGTTTTGAGAAAGAGTGAGGAGGGAAGCAAGAGGGCCAAGGAAAGAACACAGCAAGCGAAGGTTTTCTAACTCCTGAATCCTCGTGGGGAAAGAATCAAAGAATCAAAAAGGCCTACCCAGAGAGAAAAGGAGCGGGGGGGCGTATACCACAGAGGAGATGTCAAGGAGGGTAAGTATAAGATAAGGTCATGTGTGACCTTCAAGAAACAATCATGTAAGTAAGAATATTCATTCACAGGTCATTTATTGTCCATCAGAGGTGCTAGGCACTGTGTTAGGTATGGGAGGTATAGAATAGATGTGAGACCGCGCTGTTTAGTGACAAGCAAGCAAGATCAACAGCATGATCAGTGCGGTGAAGGGAAGCATTAATATAGCACTTAGTGGGAATACTGGAGTCAGTCTGTGATGATGTGGTTGCAGTGGGGTCACAGGGGACATCCATAGGGAGAGGGCATTTAATCAAAATGATGATCACATCTTAACATGGTATTCTTTTTTTAAACTAACCAGTGATTCTCTAGATCAGTGTTCTCAAACATTAATGTGCATCAGAACCCTTTAGAGTGCTTATTCAAGCACTTTTTGATTCAGTAGGTCTGGGGTGGGGGGGGTCTGATAATCTGCCTTTCTGACAAGTTCCCAGGCAACACAGGTACTGTTAATCTGGAGACTGTTCTTCGAGGATCACTGATCTACATGGCTAAATTAAGAGTTCTGTTAGGCGGTATTTCTAGAAACACAATTTAAAGTAGATAGGATTTAGTTGATCTGCATGCACACAAAAATTTAGTTTCTCTTTACTACATTTTGATATCTTAATAGTAACTGTCACGAGAAATTTTTCATTTAACTTAACTTTTATTGTATAAAGTTTTACTAAGATTTAATATTTAGCTTAGATATTTGACAGTCAGGCAACTGTTCTTGTGTGTGCGGCAAAGATATGCCTGCTATGTGCTTGCCAAAATTATTTTTTTTCCTGGGCACACACCTAAGACTGCATTTCCTGACCCCTTTGCAGTTGGGTTAGAACATGTGACTGACTTCTGCCAGCATGGATAGTGGGTAGGAGGGACACAAACCCTTCCAGGATTGGCTGAAACTTCTTTCAATATCTGCCCTTTTTCTTTGGCTAGCCAGGTACACAGGATTTAGAGAAGGGCTCTGTGAGGAGTCTGGGGGTCTGCTTAGCCACTGCGTAAGAGCCTGGGTCCCTGAGCCACCACTTGAAGAGAAACCCAAGATTGCCACTCAGGTGGGGAACCATCTGAAGAGATGAGAGGGAAGACCAGGTGAGCTCACAATGTGCTTTCCGGGCATTATGACCCTCAAGTTTAGTGGTTTGATTCTGCTGTGTAGCTTAGCCTGTCCTGACTAATGTTCTGCCTGGCATGACTAACACAAAACACCTATTTATGAGTTTCATGATCCACTTCAATTTCTATTCTCTTATGTCCAACATTCAGCCTGTAAATGACTTTCTGGCCACTCATTTTTTTTTTAAAGATTTTATTTATTTATTCATGAAAGACAGAGAGAGAGAGAGAGAGAGAGAGAGAGAGAGGCAGAGGGAGAAGCGGGCTCCCAAGGAGCAGGGAGCCCGACGCAGGACTCGATCCCAGGACCCTGGGATCATGACCTGAGCTGAAGGCAGATGCTCAACCATCTGAGCCACCCAGGCACCCTCTGGCCACTCATTTATTCAACAAATACTTACCCAGAGGCTACTGTATGCCAAGCACTGCCGATGGTGAGCAAAAAACCCACATGCCTTCCATGCTCTCAGGGAATTTAGTCTTGTGAGGAAGGGACATAAATCAAACAATTGTTCAGACATGTAAAATTCCAACTCTTGTGGATGATGTGAATGTTAGAAACCTGGTGCTATCAGATTTTTTTTTCCTAGTTAGGAATAAATGTTGAGTGCTTTCAGGTGTAATTGCCATCTGAGTAAAAATGATTTAAAAATCTAAGTTTGGATGTGATGAAGCAAAATATAATTAAATCTGAATACGACTAAGAGTCATACAGTTTTATCATTAAATCTTTTCATTTAATAGTTTTAACTACTGAATGGCATTTGCTCTATATTATAGTTACCTAAACTTTTAAAATGCATATATAATGATGAGTGTGAAATCCTTTAACTTACCAGTTGTTAGCTCCTCAGAGACTTGCTGAAGTCCTTTACTCCTTTTTTTAAATCATAGTGTTACTTTTCTATATTCCTGCTGAACCAGAGTTTTACACCAAAGGCCTCATTCAATAAAAGTTAAATCAGATCAAATCACTAAATACCTTCTTGAATTAGAACTTGTCATTCTGGTTACCACTTTAGCCTTTCAAATTTTTCTCTGCTTACCAAGTAACCAATGGTTTCAGTAAGCTCGTACACAAGATGAAATAATTTTAGATTTCCATTGAGTAGCTTTATTTTTCCATTTCCCTACATATATATGCACACATTGACACATATATATTGATAAATATATGCATACATTCACATCTTCAGATGTCTTATATATACAAAATGTATCTATCTATACATATATTCTTCACTTTTGTTTGAAAACTTAATTTTCATATTTGAATGATGAAAATCTTTACATAAATGACATTACAAATGTGGAAAAAAGATAAGGTATTTATTTTTGCAGTTCGTACAAAAATACCAGTTGCTATTATTTTCACATAGTGGACACTTCAGGAATTTTCAAAAAGGATATCCAGACCATGCTCTGCCACCAAGATACTACATCACAGTTAGAAATGAACTGAGGAGAATTTTGCTAAATTCCATTTTAGAGAAATTACAGGCTTTTATTATTATTTTTAAAGTTTATTTATTTAAGTGGGGCTTGAACTCACCAACCAAGAGATCGAGTCTCAGGCTCTAGTGACTGAGCCAGCTAGGTGCCCCTAGAGAAATTACAGGGTTTTAAAGCTGTCAGTGCCCTAGGGATTTAATACAAACATGCCAGATCAGGAAACTAAAGTCCAAAAAGGTAAAGTTTGCCTACTACACGTAGTTTAGTTCTGATCCCAGACCTAGACCCCAGATCTCCTAAATCAGATGCAGCTTTCTCTGCACCACGGTTTTTGCCTTACAACTGAAGGTCAGGCCGGATTATCTTTAGTTCTTCCAACTGCGCTTCCTCCACGGTCAGTTTTATGGGGTAAATCTAGTTAAGATCGAGTTGACTTCTGCCTTCTTGGTTATTTCTTATGTTTTTGCGGTTCTTAGTCTTTTATCATCAACATTGCTGAGCTTCTGTTTTATTTAAAAGACACACTCTTAGTAACACCAACGAGGAGGTTAACACCCACCCAAACTGGAAGCTCAGGACCTAGGACACAGCCATTCCCAGCCCCGCTGGGAAAACGTGAAGTTTGGAGACGCGGTCTAATCCACGGTCCCAGGGCCACGTGCGAGAGGAGGGGCCGCCTTCTGGTTGGCGCCCCGAGGGGCTCCGTCCCTCCAATCCGTTTAGGCCCCGCCGTGGAGGAAGGGGCGCGCCCGGGAGGAGGGGGCGGGGCCAACGACCTGTCCATCACCGAGTCCGCGGGTGGCGGCACCTACCACACCGCTGTACCTTGGCGAGGCGGGGCCGGGGCGGGAAGGTCGCGGCCGGGGGAGGCGGGGCCGGGCCGGCGGAAGCCAATCCGCCGGGCGGCGCGAGGGGGCGGGGGTGGGGCCACCGCCTGCGACCCAAACACCCTAGTCCGGGTGCACTTTGGAGCGGCGCTGCTCATCGGCCTTCCGGTGCGAGGGCCGGGGAACCTCCTCCCCTACTGGGCACCCCCACCTTCGTGGCCCAGAACCTCCCCCCCTCGCCCCTCCTTCGCAGGGGGTAGTGGGGCGACGGTTGCCGGGAAGCGCGCGCCGCCCCTCCCTCCCCTCCTCCATCCTCTCCTCACGCGCCACCCGTTTTTCCTCTTTCTCCGTTAATAACAGCTGGGTGGCTGGGGGAGGAGGGAAGGTGGCCCCGGCGGAGTCTGGGCGGGCGCCTCCCACTCACCCGCGAGCCGCCGTGTGAGCGGGAGGATGGCGGCGGTAGCTGCGGCCGCCCGGGAGGAGGCGGTACCGAGGCCCGGGGCGCAGAGAGCGGCGACGACGGCAGAGAGCGGTAGCGACCCGTCGCGGCGCACCAGAATCGAAACCAGCGGCAGCCGCACAGCCACCTGAGCCGCCCCTCCCGCCGGAGCTAGCGAGTGGCGTCCGCCGCAGCCCGACCTCCTTCCTCTCCTCTCCTCGTTTCCCGCGACTTCCCGCAGGCCGCCGGTCTCGCCCGCCGCTCCCGAACACAAGAGCGCGCCGGGCGCCGACCGCCCTTCGGGGCGCCGGGCGGCGGCCCTGGACGTGCGGGCTTCTCCTTGCGCCGGCCGCGGCGCTTCGGCCCTGCCCGCTCGCTCCTGCGCTCGCTCCCGCCCTCCCGGCGCTCGGGGCGCCGCGCGCGGGCCCGGCCCGGGGCAGGGCGGCCATGGGCGCCAAGCAGAGCGGCCCGGCCGCTGCTAACGGCCGCACCCGTGCCTACTCGGGCTCGGATCTACCTTCCAGCAGCAGCGGAGGGACCAATGGGACCGCGGGCGGCGGCAGCGGCACGGGGGCGCGGGCCGCGGCCGCGGGGAGGTTTCCGGCTCAGGTGCCCGGCGCGCACCAGCCCAGCGCCTCCGGCGGCGCCGCGTCGGCCTCGGCGGCTCCGCGCAGTCGCTCCCTCGGCGGGGCCGTGGGGAGCGTGGCGTCGGCGGCCCGCGCGGCGCAGTCCTCCTTCAGCATCCCCAACAGCAGCAGCGGCCCGTACGGCTCGCAGGACTCGGTGCACAGCAGCCCCGAGGACGGCGGCGGCAGCAGAGACCGGCCGGCGGGCGGGGGCTCCGGCGGCCCGCGCCTGGTGATCGGCTCCTTACCAGCTCACCTCTCGCCGCACATGTTTGGAGGTACGGCTCCCTCCCCTCCTCGGCTCCCCGGTTCCCTGCCTCTCGCGGGCCGCACGTGCGCCACGGCCGCGCTGGGGTTTACCCTTCTTCTTTTCTCCTTCAGCCTGAGCGTCGCGGCTTTGCCGCGCGGCCCGGCCGGCTCGCCCCTCTGGGGAGGAGAACCGCCACTGAACCCCGGCCGCGCCGCTCCCGCTACTCCCTGGGCTTTGGTTTTTAGACACCGGGGGGTACCCCCCGCCTCACAGTGGGTGCCCAGTAGAGGAAGCCCTTGTTTTCCCCTTGGGGTGAATGGAGCAAAGATTGTTTCTGAAACAAACCGATGCAACAGCCCTCGTGCTTGTAGCTTCTAGTATCAGGAAGTCAGAAGACCAGTTGCCAAACGTAGTTCTAACCGGGGACTCAAGTGGTGAGCATTTTTTTTTAAAGGCCAACAGTCAGAGGGTCTCAAAGGAACATACGAGTATTTGATAAAGGAGGGAGTTATCTCCGTTGGACTGTTAATATAAAACTGGAATCCTTAAGTCTATGTAAACAGCCCCACCTACTGCATACAGTTTAATTGGTTGAATGTGTGATGGAAAAATGTATTTTTGACCCCAATGAATTGCTACTTTAGAAAATGGTTAATGTGAGTTCCTCTTAATTTGGACAGGGCATTTTAAAAAATTGAAAGCAGTTTCTTATGGGAATCCTGCCTAAAAGATGCCGTAAAAGCATAGGTGCTTTTGGAAAAGCAGTGTTGACTGCGAGTTCAGGAAAAGTCACTTGTGATAAGTGGAAATTTTAAATAGCAAAATGTTGTGCTTTTATGTAGAAACAGGAAGGGTGCACTTGATCTGAGGAAACTTAATTTGGCCTGCTCAGTTATGTTCAGTAGTGATTTACTTTACCTCAAAACGGTTAATATCGTAAACGAATCAAGACACCTTTTCCTTCGCAGTTCTTGAGAAGAAATTGGAAGTTTAATCTGGTTAGAGAGGCCGACTATAGAAGATAAACATCCCCGTGTCACTGCATTAAAATACATAAATTCACAAGTGAGCACAGCTGAAACTGAGGAAACCATTCCCTCCATTTTTGTGGCCCCTTTTTTATATGCTTATATATGCGAGAAATTTGAGTTGGTGAAGTGGAATGTTCAATAATGTAATTTATCTGTTCTAATATTCTGTACTATCAGTATTCATGTTAGCATATTGAGAATGGGAATGTCATGTTTATTTTATTTTTTTTTTTAAGATTTTATGTATTTATTTGACAGAGAGACACAGCGAGTGAGGGAACACAAGCAGGGGGAGTGGGAGAGGGAGAAACAGGCTTCCCGCTGAGCAGGGAGCCCGATGCGGGGCTCCATCCCAGGACCCTGGGATCATGACCTGAGCCGAAGGCGGACGCTTAACGACTGAGCCACCCAGGCACCCCCATGAAAGACAGTTTCTTGAGAATGGGAGATTAGTGCAAGAATAAAGGATAAGCTGGTTTTTAAAAATATCTTTTTAAAGTGAAAATTTGCATTTAGCAGTTATCAAAAGATGTATTTAAAAGTTAAAAGAGTAAGAAGCAGCTTGTCAAATTAATATCTTATTTCAAATATATTGATTAAAGGGCTAATAATTTCCTTTAACAAAGAGTATATCTGTATGGGTTTATTTTCTGAAAATAAATACCTTCCATTCAGAGCAGGGGGCAAATAGTTGACACTTAGGTTTTTAATTCACAGTAAATTAGCAAATAACAAAGACCTGGTTCATAAAAGTAGAAGTAAAGCAAATTTACCTTTTTTCTTATTTAAGTTCCTAGTTCTCTGCGCTTAGTTCTTTTTGTACTTTCAGGGTTAGGATGATTGGGGCCTAATAGCACAGTGATACTGTGGAACTTGGGGCAGCCTTTCTTAACCAGGTGTCTGCAGAGAACAGTGCCCTAATGTCCTAAGGCAGCTAATTGTAGGCCAACTAATTTTTTTCTCCTGTGCTCTTAGAGTGATTCTAGTTATGTATCATTTTTCTGAAATTTGAGAAAACAAATAGTCTGTGGTAGTTCAGATAAAAAACTGGAGAGAGCGTGGAAGGGGATCAGAGAAATTACTTGTTCCCATCATATGATAGGAACAAATCAATATGCCAGGACCTTAAATCCTGGTTGACACAGGGAGATGGAGTACACTTAACGTAAAAACACATCTTTCTACTGGCATTTGCTTTATTGAGATTTTTACTTCTGTTTCAATGGGTAGGTTTATCAGGGAAACTTAATAGAAGCATATTTCTCCTTATCCTGAGATTTAGGAAGCCAGATGATGAATCTTACTTTATATTTATTTTCAGATGATGAATCTTACTGTAAAAAATTACACTTGATTATACTTCACATTGATTTAATTTCTTAGTGTGTATTATAGTATCAATGTCTTCAGTTACAAATTGTATAAATGGGCATATATGAAGTGATTCCCTCTGAAAATTGAGAAAAGGAATTATTTTTTATTTAGTGGGAAGTTTTGCTGTAATTTTTTAAAACTTAATTGATATTTGTGTTATTTTGTAATAGGAAAATATGGTACTAATAAGATGGAAAATTGTCCTCCTCTTTTGGGCTGTCATGTAATTTATAGAAAACCTAAACAATATACCACTTCTTTCTTTATTTAAATAGTAGTCTAGCAAATTGAATTGTTAGTAGTTTCATCATAATGAATTACCAAATTGAATGAGGTTTTCTGTGTCAGTTTTATGTTTTGAGTATGTATTTTAGGTGAATACATTCTTAGTTCTCTCTGGAGAGAACCAGAAGAGAGGTGCTTAATCCAGAATATTTTAGTTTACAGAAATTTCCTAGAACTGAACGGTTTTTCTTATTTTTGTTACTTTTTTTGGACTGCTGAGTCTAATACTATTAAAGTGAACAAAAGCCTTCTCTTGTCTATCACCTTTGTTTTAAAACAGGCCTTTAGTGATATATATATATAGGCTAATATTTTAAAGCCTTGGTATTTTAGGATTTTTTTTGGCTTTATGTCTACATTTTTTCCACTATCAAGTTGCTAATGTTCATAAAATCAGTTATTATGGGTGGTAGAATAGTCTTTTAATGATCCAGCAAGGATAGGGAAGGTATTTGAAAAAGGACTATAAAATATACCAGTGAATGGAGATTATTTCTGGAAATATGTGGGCTTCTCTTATAACCTATCCGTGAGTCTAGAAGTGAAAATGTAAAATGCGTTAATCTAGACTGTTAACTGGTGCTACTCAGTTGCTTTCGGCCTTCTCCTAATTGGCTTGAGTTTGTTTGGGTCTGTTGTGTCCTTCAGTGTTTCAGTAGTCTGACTAATTCAGGCGCCTTCTGTTACGTAGGAAACCTGATTCCTTATGTTGAAGGAGTGTGGGTTATCTCTTAAAATGGAGTATGTTAAATGAAATCTGTATTTCTAGACAGATTTATTTCTCCTAATCTTCAAGAAAGATGCAGGTTTTGGGGCACCTGGGTGGCTCAGCCGTTAAGCGTCTGCCTTCGGCTCAGGTCATGATCCCAGGGTCCTGGGATCGAGCCCCACATCGGGCTCCCTGCTCGGCGGGAAGCCTGCTTCTCCCTCTCCCACTCCCCCTGCTTGTGTTCCTGCTCTCACTAATTCTCTCTCTGTCAAATAAATAAATAAAATCTTAAAAAAAAAAAAAAGAAAGATGCGGGTTTTTAAGGTAGTGGATTATCTCCATTGTTACTGAATCATTCTCAGTCATCCCTTCTTACCAGTATCTAGTGCCAAAATACTTGAATTTGGGTTATTGTGATTAATCTACTTCCTGTTTCTGAATTTTCTTTAATTCATTTGAAAACCTTTATGCAGTGTGGCAGAAGAGAAATACCTGCTTCTTCATAAGAAAAATTACACTTCTAACTACCACCCTTGTCACTGCCCAAAAGAACAACTCTGGCGGTTAATGTTTCTCACTTGTAATCCCACATATCTTTAAACACTATAGGAGATACCTGGTGTTGTATGCTTTGTTATGCTAAAGTGTGGGCTCTGTCCTGGAAGTTTCTGCTTTGGGAATATTTTGAAAATCCTCTTTCACCCCTCTTCTTCCACCTCCAGCTTTATTTTATTATTTTTTTTCCCCGAAAGTTCTCTTGTCTGCAGGGTAGAAGGTGGGCTGGAGGAAGGAGTGGTTTGTGTTGCACTGGGCATCAGCTGATATGAAAGGTGCCTGACCTGAGTACTTCTGATGCTTTGCTAGTTGCAAAGCCAGTCCTTGAACTAAGGATAGTGCCTCCAGCAAGTCCCCAGCCCCCTCCAATTTGATTGCTTAGCCTCGTAACCAGTAAGTGGGTTATTTGTTTTTTGGTTACCAATACTGTTAATTAGGTACGAGTTTTTAAAATATTTATTATTCTGTGTTTATAAGGAGAATTCCCTTAATGTTATACTTAACTGAATATGCTGGGTATATCTATGATTGAGTATATTAGCAAATGGGTTAAAAAAAGTATAGGAACAGTTTTATGTAGCAAAGTACTTCTTAAATGTTTCAATTGTGCATGTATTTGGGATTAACTAATGAGTTAAGTTTGTTCTACCCTTGTTTAAGTGTTTGGAAATTGGGGAAGACATGTCTTTTGTGTAAACAGTAGGGTTCAGAAATACCTTAGGTTCTGATTTTGTAAGTTTTCTCTTCTCATTATTAACAAATTACTATACATTTTGCTGTCCAAAACAAAACATATCTATTCTCTCAGTTTTTATGGGTAAGGAGTCTGGGTTCATTTTAGCTTGGGTCCTCTGCGAGATTGCAATAAAAGTATGCCAGGACTGGGTTGTTATTTAGAGACTCAACTGGGGAAGGGTCTCTTTTTAAGCCGCCTCAAGTTGTTGTCCGAATTCATTTCCTCATAGTTGCTAAGCACATGACATCTTGCTGCTTCAGAGCCAGCAAAGGAGACAGTCTAGTGAGGTGAGCTGGTGCTACATACACTCTTACATAAATATGTACATGTAATCACAT